GGAACCCCACTGCCCACATCCCTCCAGGCTGAAAAAGACCCATCCACCACCACTCTCTGGGTGACCCATCCACCACCACTCATAGACTTTCCCTTGTTGGAAATAACTGTTTATGCCTAGTAGAGGGAGCCTGCTGGATCTGGAGGTTACAGAGCAAGAACAGAGAAGCCTCCTTTATGCTGAGATCCTTTCCTGACTGCTGATGCTTTGGGCAACAGTCTTCATCTGATTTTTTTTTTAAATGGCATCCTTATGCTAGAGTAAATCATCCTTGATCCTTTGACTTTATTTGAGCTGTGCTAATTTATTCCAGCTGAGACTCCAGCCTTATATTTTGTATTTGCATGAATTGCTCTAATACAATTTATTCAATCACCAGACTGTGTATATAGAAAACTGACACTTGGCAAACATCACATTATCTATGTGCCGTATGACAGGATTCTAAAAATAAAAGCATGTATTTGTACTGCTCTCTGTAGCAGCCTGCACAGCATAGTTTGCCATGATGGTTATGATGAACTGCATGCTGAAAGGGCTTAAATATGCATGGTGCTAGTTAAAAAGAAATATGCTAGATGATATTGTGTAGATGCTATTTACACTCAGTCCTTTGATTCTGTATCGGGCAGGTATGGTTTGTGCATGTGTAACTGGCTTCCTCCCCTCTTGCACAGGTAAAGATGTGATTGCATCTCTTTAGCACTGTTTGCACATTTGAATCTTTTGTTTTCCTTCTGCCTAGCTCCCAAGAGGCTGGACCAACTTCAGAAAGTTCCCTGGAGGAGATAGGCATGTCTGAGATCATAGCAATGAGAAAACAGGTGAGTGAGAGAAGCAAAGTATTGCAGTTGGAGGCTGTGGAAACTGTCTGAGTGGTAAAGTACCAATAGCTGGACTTCTCTACAGCTCTTATTCATGTGATGGCCTCTCCAGGCCCCTCTGATGAAAGGGGAGACTAGGTTTCTGTGTGCTCCTCTCATAAACACTGCTTTCATACCTGGAACCTGCTGTAGGGCTTTTGCTGGCTTTACAGCTGGGAAAAGCTTGCCCCTTGTAAATTCCAGTCACTTGTGTCTAATGGTCCCAGTACACTGCTCGTCCTAATATTTAGCTTTTCTCAGCAATTGTCATAGGTGGCAGAAGGCTTAGCCCCCACAAACTGGGCTGGCAACAGTGGATCTAGCACAGCCAGCATGTCCTGGCCCTGGAACAGCCCTGCAGGAGGGTGAGTCAGGGTCAGGCAGGCATGCTCTGCACCATCCAGCCCTCCCCCCACCGCCCCAATAATATTTTCTAGTGCCGCTTATGGCAATTGCCTGCTGTGTTTGTGAGAGAGGTGATGACCTTTCTTACCCTAAAACAGCTGCTGCTGGGAGAAGCAGAACTGGAGTAGTCATGAGCTCCCATCTTGCTGGCTGGTGCTGAGTCACCTGCCTTACAGTGACACATCCTGGGGCAGCATCCCTTGCCTTGCCCTGGGATCCCTCATTTGCCCTATGGTTTGTAACTGACTTAGGTGTTTTGTTTTGTTTTTTCCTGCAGTTGAATAAGATCTCAGGGAGGCTGCGCAATCTGGAAGAGCAGTGCACAGGCTGGCATCAGAAGGAGCTTCTGGTCTACTCTGTGCTGGTCTCTGCGTGTCTCCTCAATACCTGGCTTTGGCTAAGGAGATGAAGAACCCTCCCCATCACAGAACAGCCTGTGTGGATGGGGGAGTCCTGGCTGGAACACTGTCAGACCATAAACTCTGTGTTTCTTCCCCTTGGTTGACCTGCTTCTTGAATTGTAGATTCCATGAGGATCTGTGACCTTTGGGCCCTGTTTGCAGTACAGATGAATGGATTGGGATAGTCCTCTTTTGCTCGAGAAAGTTGGAAGATTAGAAGTGAAAGGGGCTTACTTGCTGGATCAGCTGAAAACAAAGAGATGTTTGTAACCAAGAACTGTCCAACCCCTTTCAAATGATGAACTTTTTGTCTTGCAGCTGTTCTGCCTTGGGCAATGGCTTTATCCACCTGTATGCGCTACTTAAGTAGTAAGTAGTGTTGTAGGTGGGGCTGGGTCAGGACATGGATGTGAAGTTACCAAGGGTGACCCAGGGGCTGCAAGAAGCAGTATTATTGGGTCAAGTAGGTAGTGCTCAGGGTTTGCACTGAACCAATCTTCAGCGTGGTGTTAAGGGATGCTGTGTTGCTGTTGGTGCCATCCTTCTGAACAGATGCACAAAGCTGGGGTTCTAAGGGCTTGTGGCCATCAACATCCCCATTGCACGGTGGATATGGGCAACCCTGGTCTCTGGCCAAATTCCAACTTGGGTAGCTAAGTTCTGACACCTAGAAATTTTCCTGTAGTTTCACTGAGACACCTCTTCATGTCCTGCCTAAAGTTTTTGTGCTGGCTGGCTGCACAGTTTGAAGTAACAGTTGTCATGTGGGAGAAAGCTGTACTGCAACAGGGGGCAAAGCCAATTTGTAAGGAATGTTGGTAACCACGAGGATGGATTGTGGTGTGTATGATTATTGCTAATGTTCAAGTGTTGTCCAGGAGCCTGGATGATAACTTGAGTGCCTGGATATCAAGCCCAAATCAGTGGAAATCTCAGAGATGAATATGTAGCCTGGGTAATGAGATCTGGCTCCATGTATTTGATCAGTTTTGCAGGTTTGGGCTGGGTTACAGAGGAACTGACAAGGTTCTGCTCTGGGTTATATGGTGTCTGTTATGACAAAGGAAATTCTTGGCTTAGTATTGGCTAAAAACTATCATGTGATGAAGCTGGAAACCTTTGCCTCATTCAGTCTTGGAAATTATCAGTACTCTAATCAGGATCAGTGTTAACTCTCAGATCCCTTGATTGGCTTACCAAGGTACACTTTGTTTTCACAGATATCTAATGTCACCCCCACTCAGAATGGGTGTGTGTGTGTGTGCGCGTGCGTGTGTGGTTAATGCTATTTATACAACACCAACAGAAGCACTTTACAGACTTGTATGAAGACAGGGTCCCTGCCCTAGATGGCTTAAAATCTAAGTTGACTGCATAGAAATGCAGGAATTGAGGTATATATAACTGAAAAGGATCTGTAAGTGGTCACGGACTGTGTGTGGGGGGTGGTATATAATAACACACTCAAAATTCATGGCTATAATTGGACAACTTCTAGATACACTGGTCAGCCTACTTGGAATACCAGTACCAATGCATGTCCACAAAATCTGGGCCAGATGGTTAACCCAGGTTTAACTTGGTTTCGCTTGTTCCATCTATAAATAACTGTAAGTGCAAATTTGGTCATTTAAATGTCCAGGTACCTGATTTATTGGCACAGATACTTAGATGTTCAAATGATGCATGTTGCACCCCTATCTATGCCTATAAATCTGGTAGTACTTGGATTTCTAAATAAAAAATAACAGTTCTATAAATAATCATAGGTGCAAAACTCTGCCCCTGAGGCCAATGTCTAAGCTAAAGAAAATTTGGAGATTTACTGCAACAGAAGCTAGGATCTGCTGATTGTTCGGGCAACTTCTACTGCAGTCAGGAAAATACAAGGAATGGGATGAGGTGATTTGTGTTGCTACTACCTACTTTGTTGCTTTGGAGTGGTTGGGCTTTCTCTTGGTCTGCAGAACTTGCACTCCAGCTCCTCTCACTTCTAGTGAGCAGACCCATGGATCCAGTGGGATCTATCATTTCAGTCATCTGTAGTTGAAGATAGAATCTGCTACAATCCCTGCTTGAATTTTGCTAGCAATGTTATGTGCCACTGCAATGGTTCCCACTTTCCTGTAACTGGAGCCACTGGCTGTAGGAGATGTTATTTTCTTTTTCAGCCCACAGCATGGACTGAAGAGGCCTGATCCAGTGTGGTGGCCAGGGCCCTCTAGGTCTTGTCAGGCATTTGGAGAAGAGGGTGGTTCCAAGATCAGGCATGTGTTGGCTACTTGGAGGGTAGTTGCTGACTAGTAGCTAGTCGTGCAGTGTAATTTTTTTGTATGAGGCCTGCGTCCTGGTTGTGTAAATCTGGAAATAACGATCAATAAAGAGCCTATTTAAACACACATGGCAGAAAATGCCAATGGCCTCTAGACCTGCTTACTGTATCAACACAGCTAATTTTGAGTAAGGTTTTGTCCTCTGGACTGCAACTCTGTGGCCTTCTGCTGGGTGTCTAAGCCATACATATACTTACTATGGCTTCAGCATCCTTATCTTGTAAGATCATGTTGACTGAATTGGCCAGCCAGTGTAAAAATACCCACAAATTACAGCAGCCCAAGAGTCCTGGACAATTTTTTGTGATTCCAGTCACCTGCTTAAGGTGGGATAGTTTGTGGCTAAGTCATCCTAGTCAAGCATCTGTTCAACCCACTCTTGAAAATTTCCAAGGATAAAGATTCCATAACTTCTGTAGGTAGCCTGTTTTATTGCTTGAGCACCTTCACAGTCAGAAAGTTTCTTCTAATCTCTAATGTAAATTTTGTCTGCTGCAGCTTGAGGCTATTGCTCCTAGGTTTGTCTCCTATGGTCATGGAGAAAAGGCCCCTTCTCCATCCTTTTCTCAGTAACCACCCTTCAGGTATTTGAGAACTGCTATCAAATCCCCCCTCAATCTTTTCTTCTCCAGACTAAATGACCCCGATTATTTCAGCCTTTCCTCAAAAGCCTTGCTTGCCAGGCTGGACTCTGCTGGACTCTTTCCAGACTGTCCATATCCTTTTTGAAGTGTGGCCAGGTGACGCCTCACCAGCACTACAGAGAGCAGAATCATCATTTCCCTTGATTTGCAAGTGACACTCCTGTTCATACAACATAGTATGTTGGGTGACCGATTCCACTTTTCCTGACTCTGTGCCTCCTTTGCGTGAATCTCAGTACTTTTCCATCCTGACAAGTGGTCAGGCTCATCCATCACTGTCCTAGGTGTTGCTCTTCAAGCACTCTGTTTACCACATTTTCCATTATCACTGGTGTAGGCTGTCCGGTGCAGATGGGGCCTTTAGCCTTGAAGGTTTGCAGGCCAGTGTCTTTTAATCTGGTTTCTTCTACTTATCTCATTCCTCGCCTAGTACAGACTGGATTTAGAATTGCCTCTTCAGCCTTTTCTTAGCATAGTTCACCATTTGTTAACTTGTTTGTTAACACATAGCTTACCTTTGCTTCTACTAATCACTTTACACTCATTTACCCGTACACCCCAGTATCATAAAAAAGAATTCTTGTTTTGCTATATATATGTGTAATAACAAGCTTAATTCATAATGGCAAACTTAAAATCAGTACAACTGAGATGCCTCTGCTGCTTCTCAAGCATCTTGGGGTTCTTGAGTGGTGGGGTGACAACTGCTCCCACTTTTTTGTTTGGTGGGTTCAGGTGGGAATGGTTGGGTAGGTTGTGTTTGAGAGCAATGCTACATATGAATGCTGGGAATATGATGTAGACATTTCCTGAGGTGCCAGTGCTGGTTCTACAGCTCTTCCCTGTAGTCTGTCATTCCCCCAGCCATTCTTCTCATGGATAGATAAAACATCATCCCAGTGGCCATGTTTCTCAGCCAGCTTGTGGAAATGGTTCCATGCAGAACATCCTTGTTTCGAGCCATGTGATCCTGTGTGTTGGGCTGGAGGGAGCGACACATGGCTGGGTGAAGAGGGTTGCTTTGATCAGTTGCAGCTATTAAGAAAGGTCCCATTAGTTGGTATGGAGGTGGCCCTAGGGTCTGCATGTAGGGGGCACTTACTGGGCTAGGGTGGGAATGGAGCCATCATCTTCCCTTGTTTGTGTGTGTGCAGATAGTGAACTGGGTGGTGGAGAGGGAGAGGGACTTCTTAAATCTCCTCTCTCTGCCACCCTTCTGCTAGGGAGGGAAAATGAGGCTGAGCAGATACAAAACCAGGGGATAATGGGAGCCATTAGCTGATGCAGTTCCTACAGAGGCCTTTCCTGCAGTTGTCTTTGCCTAATCACTGAATGGCTGTGCCTCAGTTTCCCTGTCTGAAATGATCATTCCCACAGAGGAGCCTTGGCTTTGGCCTTTGCAAGGGGCATGTTCACAGATGCTACTCATTGCCAGCACATTTGGAGAAGGGTTTGCCTTTTTTTTACCTGCCATTTTCCATTTTTGCCTTTGGCATGCTCTGTCTCATGCGTGGGTCACATGGTGGGCCTGTGCCTTCCTGAGGGAGGCTGGGTAGGAAGGGGAAGTTGCTGAGGCAGCTGCATGTACTGGGTGTTTGCAGCATGTTGTGTAACAAAGTATTGCTCTGGGGAATCGCTTGTCTTGGATCAAAGGTATGGAAACAAACAAGCTTGCCACGTTTCCATGGAGATTCTCTAGCCATCTGTGAGCTCTGTGCCTGGTGCGTGTGTGTTCCCACTCCTCTCCTCTGCACCAGGCTGGCGAACTCATACCTGCTGTTTCCGGGCTGAAGAGAAGGAGAGAGAGTGTGTGTGTGTGTGCATGCGTGTGTGTGTGTGTGCGCGCGCGCGCACCAGAGTGGCCTTCCTGCCACCCTGCAGATCTAAGAAGCAGGGCAAGCCTAGGAGAATGAAGGGTAGCACCAGCAGGAACCCGTCTGCTAGTAGGTTTCCCTGCAGAACTGCATTCCTCTGGTTGTGAAAAAAACTGGGAGACTGGGGACACTTCTCAGCTGTTCCAGCTCCTTCCACAATTCCACATAAACAACCTTGGAGACCCCAGTTTAGGTGAGCTGGTCAGAATTTTTTTAGTGTGGAACAAACCTAACTGCTGAAACCTTTGAATGTTTTGCTGCCTGGCATGCTTGTTGCCTGCTCTGTGATGGAAGGTGGGTGCTTGGCCCACTTTCAGCCCAACTCTGCTTTTGGAGCGATGGGCTGTGAGACCACCTGTGCCACTCCATCTGCTCCTGCCTAAGGGGGGCAAGATAGGTTGGTATCTTTGTCTATCTGCCAGCCTTGGAAGTTAAAACATGCATCAGCCCCCACAGCAAGCATCAAGTTTCAGGTTAATAATGACTTTTTTTTCTCCTTTCCCCGCTAGTTTTTGAGCCTTTAGGCTTCCGCATTGTCAAGCTTTTCCTTGAAACTGAGAGCTAGAAGCTAAGTTATTGTTTTAAATGAAAGCTGAGGCTTTCAGGTTAGTTACATGACTCCAGATGCTGGAGCTTCTAGAAAAACAATGTGCTGCGAGATTCACAATAGCATTGCAGGAGCTGGCAAATTGATTTTGCTAAAAAAATCAGCCATTTCTGACATTTTAGCCCCCACCCCCTTGGCAACTGGGTAGGTATCTCTCTCCTGCACATCAGGCATGTAGAAACTGGCTATTCCCTACCATTTGCCTATTAGAGTGGTCTCCTAAAAAAATAACAGTTTCTTAAAAACAATGACATCATGAAATCTCTCTTGCCTAATTTCTGCCTTCTGGGTAGTTTACACCTTGACCAGCTCGCTTCTGCTGGTGGTTATCTGTCTGTTGAAACTGGGGCATAGGAGATTAACAAATTGATGGTTCCTTAAATTTTCAGGCTGCCTGACTTCTATAGCGCAGTCCGGACAATAAAGAAACAACTGGGCTGCTGTATTCAAATGCAGCCAACTTCCAAAGAGCAAAATCTGTTGCACAGCATTGACAATCCACAGACCTCCAGAGCTGAAGTAGTTTACATCGCTTCTGGCCCCAATTATTGTGGTTGCCAGAGAGCTGTGCTGTGGACAACCAAGTTGACTCTGCTAAGAGGCCAAGCTGATTAACTGGTCTGGGTGCAGAATTGTGTGGATGTAGCTCCCCAGTCAGGTGCCAGGCTGTGTTAGGCTGTATCCTTTCAGCGGATACTGCAGGTCAGGACCAGGGTTTACCTTCTGCAGTCCATACACAAAAGCTCAGTATTGGGTTGCTATTAATAAAACTCCCTGAACAGCAGCTGTGAAACTAATGGCTGCCAGTCTGTTTCATGGCAGCTGATGCAAGGCTTGTCTTGGCCAGCTCTGGGCCCCATCTTGTTTGCTGCCTGGTGCCGTTGCAGGCCCAGTTGTTCATATCCAGGATGAAAATCTCAATTCAGGGAGTCTCTTGGGGCACCAGGACACAGCCCCAAAATTTGAGACCATCCAGGAAGAAACCAAAGCCATGGTTATTTTATTTTCTGCTCCTTACTGCAATTGATAGGTCAGGGAAGCACTCTGTAGAAGCAGAACTCATGGTCTCTCTCAGTCTCGTATGCTGTAGCGCTCATCACTGCAGGGTGCTCATCCAGTTGTGCACCTCACAGGAAGGCAGGGGAGGGTTGAAGCATTTGTCACAGCTTGTCGAGGGCTTGGAGATCTGTGGACTCAGAGTGGTTACAGAAGTGTAAAGGGTGGCTGTTATTTCTAGTTGCTCTGTTCCTTTAAAGCTTTATGAAATGCTGGGCATGAGAGGCAAAGGGAAGGGAAGGAAGGGACACTGGGTCCAGGGAACATCCTTTCCAGGCCAGTGGGGATTCATTCAGAACAGTGGTCTCCAACCTTTTAAAGGTGAAGATCACTTTCTGAAGTAAAGGGCAATCCAGGTCTACCATGCTACCCCCTTGGTCTGCCTCCTCCCCCCCATGTCCTGGCCCCCCTCCCCACCTAGCAGGTCAGTTGGGGGAGGGGGCAGATCAAGGCCCCTGCAGTGAGGAAGGCTGTGGGGCAGGAGCAGGGGCAGGGGTGAGTGGGGCCAGGGGAGGGTTGGGTTGTCCAGGTGCATGGGGAAGCGGGGCTCCCACCACCCGGTGGAGGCCTGGGGAGCATGTGCCCCCTTCAGTCTGTGCTCAGGGCGAGGCAGCTGCTGCTGTGTGCTGGGCTTTGCGCTCCAAGCTACATCTAACAGTGCTAATTTTGTGTGGCACCCCAGGCGGCGGAGGTATTCTGGTTAGGAATCACTGAGCTAGAGGTTGATGGTGAGTGAGGGACTTGGGAGGGAAGTGTAGCAGCTCCAGGTGCAGAGGTACTGGAGGAGAGGGTGGAGCTTTTATCTCTCCTCCCCTCTCATTCCCCAGACACAAAGCCTTCTGTGATTAACTCCTGTGAAGTACACCTGGTGTTCAGGGAGTCAGGGAAACACACAGGGGATAAGCACATTGTAGCATAGAGAGAGAGGGAGAGATGAGCTCTGAGCCATACACAGAACATTTCCTTGTTGCTGGGGGCACCAGCTCCACCCCTTGCATCTGAAAGTTTTCTCTGTTGCTCTGAGGGCTACTAGCCAGGCTCCCAGGGCTGGAAGAGAAGGGCAGCGCCTTGCCACAAAGGACGGAGCTGGCTTGTCTTCAAATCAGTAAGTGCATTTTTAAAAAAACCCAAAGTTTGTTCTGTCTTCAGAAGCTGCTTGAAAGTCACTGGTGTGATGAACTTCCACCAGTCCTTAGCTGGTCTTGCAGCCCATAGTGGTAACAGCAGGTTACGTGTGGTTTGTTGAATGCACCTTTGCAGCAAGATGGGGACTGGGAGGCTAACGCCTGGGGCACTGCCACAAAGTGTACACTGGAACGCACTGCTCCCAACAGTAGAGGCTGCTCCAGTGCTCATTCTGCCCTCTAGACCCTGTGCTGCTTGGGACCTCTGACTAGTAAGTAAAAGAGGGACAATTCTTTGTGGCTTTTCAGGTCTGTCCTGAGTGAGTGCCAGTGAATTTCCCACATGTGATTGTTCCCCATATGTATATTTCATAGATATGTAAATAGATGGATCTACTCAGGCAGACATGTTCATATGCTGGGCCTATTGTACCCTATGTGGCTCTAATGGTGGGGTTTGCATGAATATCACTGTCCCTCTGTGTATGTATGTCACTATATATATATGTGCTTTGTGATGCATGTCTTCCCCTCTCCAGCTAGCTGCACATGAATATGTGTGGTGAGTGCCAATGTAGCCATGTGTGAGCTCTGTGTGTAACCTATATGCCTATTGTTTGTCTATCTGAACATCATGCATGTGTGGATGACATAATTTGTGTATAACTTTGTCTGTGCGTCCTGTCTTTGATATAGGAAGAAGTAGTGTTATGTGAGTACAACTCTGTTTTTAAATCAGTTGGCTATTTGTTCATGTTTCTGTATACTGTAGTGTGCCTGGCCCCATGAAGTATCTTTTGATGCCACAATACCCATGTGTGCCCTGTGCTTGTTGTGTTTATCATTAGTAATATCTATGCACATTACATATCACACTTATAACAGAGGGTGAGTGCTCATGTGCCTCTGCATGTGCGTGGGGTATAGACCAATGGCCAGGGACATGGAGGTACCAGGGACTTTTTCAGGTGCCACTAACTTAGTTTCTGCTGTATGAGTGCATTAGGGATCCTTTGATCTCCTGCAGCTGGGGGAATTCTCTCATTCAGCCCCTCTGGTCAGAAAAACTCACATTGCCACACTTAGGCCTTTTGAACTGAAGGGATCTGTTTCTGCCAAAGGTCAACAATGGATTACTTTTCTGTGACCGACTAAGTGGAAAAGAGCACAGAAGGTTCTGAGGGCCCATTCCTCCAGATGTGCTCAAGGGTCTATCTTTGCTGGATTTAATGATGACTCAAGGAAATAACAATAAACAAGAAGCTTCCATAAAGAGTGTCATGGTTACGCAGCCAGCTGTGCTTCTGATGTCTTCAGTCTCTCCCTCCGGCTAGGCCTTGTGCCTTCACATCTCCTGGAATGGAATCACGTGATTCTTCCTCTCTTATACCAAGCTCTGAGCTGCAGTTCCTTGTGTATCAACCATGCTTATCTAACAAATCTAGGTGGGTCCACAGCTATGGTTTTTCCTTTAAGGAGTCTGAGCCCAGTGGTTAAGACCAAGATTGGGCAGTCTTTCTAAACTAAGGTATTTTTTATCTCAAAGTAGTCATACTGGGCATATTCCAATTACCAGATCAATAGGAGCCTTTATGAACTGTTACAAGGTAGCTTCACTTCAGGTATTAAGTCTTTTGTTGTGCTATCTATAAAATGAACTCTTATAGGCTTTTCCCTTCATGTAGCTATCCCATGCATAACTAATTAGCGAGACCAGAGGCTGATCCTACAATTACATGGTCAGTGAGAGTCCCCAGCGACTATGCAGCAATGTTTTTAAAGTGAGGGTGAGTCTTAGTGTCTGGGCAAGTCCGTGACTGGAAGCTAAGGCTTTTAAACACCATACAGCAAGGTGCTGCAAGCTCCCCTAGCACAGTTCTGCCATCACAACTAGCTTCTGACTTGCAGCGCCCTGTCCTTGCCCATGAAGCATTCCACCCCCGACTGAAAAACTCCTTAATCCCAACCTGCCATGGCCCAGGCTTTCCCAGTCCTAGACCTCTTCAGACCTCTCATCACAACTAAGCTTTTAGACACCCTTGTTGCTTTGGTGGACGGCAGTTTGGCAACTAACTTAATTACTATCAAGCAGAGTGGTGGTTGTGCACTACCTGTTTGGGGACACTGCTGCTCTTTGCTGACAGGGTGCAGTTCCAGTGGTGGGTGTGTTAGTATTACAACTGCAGAAGGCCAGGGAGCCTCTAGACACATCCCTCCTTGCCAGCTCTTAGCTGTTCAGGCAGCAATTTCTTTCTCCCTGTTCTGGGCACAAGCTCTTCCTTGTTGCTCCCAATCCTGCCTTTAGCGGACTATTCTGTGTACATCAGCTTTATGTGCCAAGACAGTCTTAAGAAATCCTTGTAAACTTCACCTGCTCATACTCCTGTGCACTCACTGACAGGGCAGTGGAGCTCCTGTCTCCTGCTTCCAGACAAAGCCAGCCACCCCCTACCCTTCTTGAGCTCCTTCCTTCTAGCATGAACAGGGTCTGTGAATCAGTCAGACCCTCATAGGCCTGTGTGCTGTCTTGATGCTGCCACCAACTCATAATGCCCTAGTTATGGAGCATGCTCTGTTCCAGATGCATCCTCAAAGGACCAACATTATTGTTTGTTGAGGATGTATTAGTCTCCAGGGAAACAGTTGTTTTACGATGCTGTGGTGCTGCATCATGATGTTACACTGATGTCTGCTTTGACATCACACCATTGCTTTGACCTGTGTTCTTTGAGTGGGTGTTTATCATTCTCTGCTGTTCAGTGAAAAGGATATGCCAGGCCTGCTTGTGTGTGTACATGTGCTCTCTGCGCAAGGGGAGTTGCTTTTACATCCTCCTCAGGGTCTGTGTTGGGAGCAAAAGGCTGTGTGGGTTCTGTCCCAATGAAATGTTTACTGTTCCCTGATGCCCCAGCTCAGTATGTCCATGTACTTGAGGGTCTGTTGCTCCACCAAGACAGAAATCTGGGGCATGGAGACGAGCCTCTCACCCCACCCAAATAGTCTCTCACCAGCGAATGTTTCTTGCCTGCTGGCTGATCCATACTGATTCTAGCTGGTGCCTTTTTATTCTATATTTCTTGACTCCTATTGTTGTCTCCTTTATCCTTTTGTTATCTATTTCTTTTGCATCCTTCCCCTTGACATCCACCATTTGACTAAAAATGGTGCAGCGTGGTGTTTGCTGTCAGGACCCTGAGGTCAGAGCATATGACTTATCTTCCATACCACTCAAATAGAGCTTTACTGCCTCTGCTAAGGGATGAGAGGGCTCAGAGGGATGTGGAGTCATTTACTCGTAAGCTCCTGTTTTATGGCCTCCATGAAGTGACAAGTTCAGTGGTCTCAGTTCCTATCAGACAGGTGTCCATATTAAAGCACCAGCCACCAGAACTGATCATAAAATCATAGAAAATTAAGGTTGGAAGAGACCGCAGGAGGTCATCTAGGCCAACCCCCTGCACAAAGCAGGACCATCCTCAACTAGATCATCCCAGCCAAAACCTGGTATACCCAGCTCTTAAACTCTCTGGGTAGCCTGTTGCCATGCTTTACCAGCCTCCTGGTGAGAGAGTTTTTCCTAATATTGGGCCTTTGTACATGCCACAAAATTGGCCTTTAAAGCAGCTTAAATGTCCTTTTGCACTGCTTTAATGGCACTGCTGTTTACACTGTCGGCAGTGCATTGCTCATGAAATGACTTTGGGATGTAACAAAATAAAACATGTCCTAGGTGTTTTAGTTTTGCTACCTTACAGCCACGGAAGGAAGCACCAGGCCCCGTGCAGCTCAGGGGCTGTGCAGGCAATCTCCACTGAAGGGGAAAAAAAAAACGGCGAGCCATTTCTTTTTTTTTTTCTCCCTGGAGCCTGCCTGCCTGAGCAGCGTGGAGACCCTGTGCTTCCCTCCGCAGCTGCGCAGGGGCCTGGTGCTTTCCTCTGTGGCTGCGTGGAGGCTGGGTGCTTCCCTTTGCAGCTGCTCAGGGGCCCCCAGGACCACCTGGGCCAGGTGACTGTGGGCGGGTGTTGCCTGGGGGGGCGCCGGTGCAGAGGAAAGCACTGACTCCCCTGCCGCCCCCCCCTTCCCCCCTGCCCGCTGCCAGAGAGGCAGGTAAGGATCGGGCCTGACCCTTGCATATATGCCACAGGGGTTTACTTTGGCTTAAACTGAAGCGGGGTTTTTAAAGACCCTCCGCTTCAATTTAGAAGTAAACCCCCGTGGCGTGTACAAGCAGCCATCTAACCTAAACTTCCCTTGCTGCAACTTGAGACCATTGCTCCTTGTTCTGTTGTCTGCCACCACTGAGAGCAGTTTAGCTCCATCCTTTTTGGAATCACCCTTGAGGTAGTTGAAGGCTGCTATTAAATCCCCTTTCAGTCTTCTCCAGACTAAGTAAGCCCAGTTTCCTCAGCTTCTCCTCAGAAGTCATATGCCCCAGCCCTCTAACCACATTCATTGACTCTGATGCACTCTCTCCAATTGAGTCACATCTTTTCTGTAGTGGGGGGCCCATAATTGGACACAGGACTCCAGATTTGGCCTCAACAGTGCTGAGGGGAATAAATGCTTCCCCCGATTTGCTGGAAACAGTTCTATTAATGCAGCCCAGTAGATTGTAGGCCTGCTTCACAACAAGAGCACATTGTTGGCGTATATTCAATTTATTGTCCACTGTAACCCCCACATCCTTTTCTGCAGAGCTGATGCCTAGCCAGTCAATCCCCAGCTTGTACCAGTGCATGGGATTGTTCTGTCCGAAGTGCAGGACTTTGCACTTGTCCTTACTGAACCTCATGAGATTTCTTTTGGCCCAGTCCTCCAATTTGTTGAGGTTTCTCTGAATCCTAGCCCTACCCTCCAGTGCATCTACAATTTCCCTCAGCTTGGTGTCATCTGCAAAGTTGCTGAGGGTGCACTCAATCCCATCTTCCAGGTCGTTTATGAAGATACTGAACAAAACCATCCCAGGACTGACCCCTGAGGC